ATCTTAAAATGCTCGCTTCAAAACAGAACTTTCAGCTTGTTTTCTCCATTTTATGCAATCTTTTATCTTAGGTAAAGGCTGGGATCACCACTTGGTGTGGACAAACACACACAAGAACAGCAATGGCTCTCTTTGGGAGTAGAACCCAAGTCTAGTCCATCTTGGATGTACGGTAATTAACCAGGAGGTTTAGTAACTAGGAAACAGAAGGTCCTCCTTCTAAGGTGACTTCACCTGTAAGGCAATTGGTAACCAGGTCCCCCGGGCCTTCATTAGCATGAGGTTCCTGGTGGTTCCACTGGCTTGTTAAGGGTCTTGTTAAGGTCTTGTTTAATGATGATGAATGACAGAGCAAAGTCTCGTCACCACATTATAAACAATTCTAGGGCACAACCAATATCTCACACTGTCTTTGATTTGTCTTCACAGTATTAACTGGACAGACAAGGAAAGTTTAATAGCAAGGTGGCTTTTTCTGATAACATAAAAAAGGCCCTTTTATTAGTGCTGGTTAACTAGAGACTTACTCTATCTTAACCATCTAAAATATGCTTACCTTGTGTGTATGTGTGTGTGTGTGTGTGTGTGTGTGTGTGTGTGTGAAGTGTTACAGGATAGCAGCCACCCTAAAAAGTATTCAGCTTAAAAGCAGTAATGAAAGATCGAAGTGGAATTTTTATAACAAAATTTTCAATACAAAAACAGTTTTTATACACATATTTTATTTCAGACAAAAATAATCTCAAAACAAAAGCAAAGCTTTGTTGAAAACTTAAGAAGACAGTCTATTAAACATAATCACCAACACGTCCCCGAAATAAATTTGATTGGCTATCACTCCTTCAGATGATACCCCAAAGGGAAAAACTTAATAAAATGAGCTAGCTTGGGAGGCCCACTGCAGATTCCCCAAAAGGCTTAGGTATATGGCATTACTAAGTATCTACATCAGAGTCATATTTGGTAACAGTCCCAGGATCTTTTGATGAAGGCTTTCTGTCTTGTTAGATGTTTTTGTTTGCTAGGCTTACATTGGTACCCAAAACAAACTCCCATCAATAGGAAATTAGCTTTAAGTAATTTTGGGGGGTAGCATGATGAATTGCTGTAATACCATTCATACCCTATCTGGTTTTCTTTGTGTCCAGTGGGATGCATATTTCATGGTTGTTCAAGGCCTGTGCTATGAGCACAGACATGCAACAAATATGATTTTTTGGGTTAAGGACAAGGAACCTGTATTATCACTTATTCAATCGAGTTTCACATTTTTTGTTTTGTTTTTATTTTCTTTCTGTATTGTGCATAATAAATACTTAGAAACAGATGTTCCTACCAACCAGAAGGTTTTCATTAAATATCCTATTGTTTAAAACTGCAAATGTATTGTTTAAGTAGCCATTAGACATACCCAGGCTTGAATTATATGCCGTCGCTGGCAAATGTTTAAAAAAGTTTTGGTCCTTATGCATTGCTATACAGAGCTGGATTTTGAGTTGTTCTGATGTCTCTAGAATCTAAACATTATCACAGAACTTTAAAATGTTTCTCGCTTGTTTTGTAAGGTCCTTCATGGAGATATGACATTGACCACTAGCAAAAGGTCACACTTGTTTCCATTTCATGCCCCACAGCCCTGGCTCTTCTGAAACCTCCACACCCTGATCCGATCTTGGGAATGTTTTGCTCTTTTGAAAATTCCTCCCTCCCACCCCTGCAACAAATGTCCTTTGTCACATAATTAAAAAAAAAAAAAATCTCTGGAAGATCCAAGTTGAATAACAATAAAGTTCTGGTTGGGACCTTCATAAGCCTGACAATGTAGAATTGTATTTTTTAAAAAGTGTGCAACCACATTTGTCTGGGAAGCAAAGGACACCACAGAATAAGATCAGAATAGAATTTCAACTGACTCCCTAATTTCCTTAGCATGGCTTGTATTTCAAGCCCTTCCTGTTTCTTTCTGATAGGGCAGGTGTACATTACTAACTATTAGTGATAAGAAGAAAGAATAAAAACAACCACTGCCTTAGAAGTACAATTGAAGTGAGAATTTAGGTTCACATTTGTAAACTAGTCATTTTAGCATAAGTTTAATTACATGTTAGACTACTTGCAATTCTGTTCAATCAGTAGAGCCTTAATAGGAAAGCCAGACATGTGTTGGTACTGCCTTATTTATGTTTCATCCTGATTATTAGAACTCCTCTTGATTTATGATTGCTTCCTAATTTCCCACACTAGGCCAGGACTAGGTCTTTCAATGATAAGCAATAAACATTTACTAATGTAATAAAAGTCATATCTGAATATGCAGAGATAAGTGGGCTGGGGCAGAATATGTTTTTGTTTGTTTGTTTGTTTGAATATTGAAGTGTGACTTTAACCCAAATCTTACAACATACAAGATTTTTCAGCCACTGGACAAACTCAGATGGACTGTCTGCTATAGTACATGCCGACTATTTTGATCTCTCTTTCCGAATGCTTGTGCCCTGGGGGTTTGGGAGGACTGCAGAGGTTCTTCGGAGACTTTCTCCTGTGTTCTGTTTAGAACCCTTGCCCCCATTGGGAAACTGCATGTGTTCTAGCTAACCTTGACGCTGGCCAACATATGCACCATGCATTCGGGTGTGAATCTCTTCTCAACAAGAAATAACTAGGAATGGTCCTCTGGTTGTCTGATCACAACATAATTGAGACGATTAAAAAAAAAGAGAGAAGAAAAATGACTAGTTGAAGCTTTTATATACATTCATTGCTTCTAACATGTTTTTAACAACAAGAAAAATGCAACATGACTACTCTTAGAGTGAGTGCAGCCACAATACTGTACAGTTCCGGGGGCAGGCCGCTGGGCACGTTTACCATCAAAACCAGCTAACAAAACCCCATGGCAAAGGAGGCCATCCCCTGGGAGCTATTTTCTTTTCTTCTTTTTAATATATATACATTTTTTTTGAATATTTTGCAAATCCCAGTTTGAACTATAACAAAAACAACAATAAAAGACAAACAGACTCTATATTAAAAACATCCATGTTCTTCATTGTTACTCTAAAGCAGCTTGGAGGCTGTCGCCACTTGGAGTGTACTGCAAACTGACTCCATTAAGATGATCTTGGCAGGATAGCAGCACAGGATTTGATATTCCATATTTATCACTTTTGACAATGTAAACCTTTCATAAAATAATATTTCTCTTAAAAATTAGAATCATTCAAGGATCTGATCGTCCCATTCCCTGAGGCCCGCCAGGGAGGTCTGGCTTCATACCATGGGCTTTCCTTCTTTCTTGGTGTGAGGCATGGGGCACACTGCCACTGCGTGTCAGGAGAAACCTGAAGGACAGCCAGGGAAAGGGCCCTGCGAAAGGAGGACTCTGGGTGAGTCTGTGTGGAAACAGGCCATAGAAAGCAATTCTTGAAAGGTCAAACCATCGGAGCCAGAATTTAATCCCCCGGTCACTTCCCATTTAGATTTTCAACTGAATGAACCTCATGGATTTAACCAAACATGTATGCAAGCTTCAACAATATGAATTAAATTCTGATTTGTCCAGGCACAGGTAAACCCTCAAGGAACATGGGCAAAGGGACAACAGGTATGTCCCTTGCAATAAACAATTACGTTGTCATGGAAGTGCACGCAACTCCGTGGCCAGCATGCTCCAGGGTTTCTCCTGTAGCTGAGACCCGGGGCTTAGCTCATCTTCTCAGAAATGCTTTTAACAATTAAGAGACAATAATCTGAAATGGAAAAATGATTTTTTTTTTTGCTAACAAAGAATGTAGAGGCCATACTAAATACAATTTTTAAAAATGCTGAGATGCATGTATTTTTTTTTAAAAAAGCAGCTTTCAAAATATTAACCACAGCATTAAACATTGAACATAGTACATTCCAAAGTTAATACAGATAAATGGTATATAATGCAATAATGCCACAGTTATTCCGCGTGTGTCTCAGGCTCTCTAAACTTGAAAACATACTTCCTAGTTTATTGGCTGAAGATCACTTCTTTCACTACTTCTCTAGAGCTGTCCACCACTATTTTTTTTTTCCTTTTTAATGCCCAGGATATACAGATAAACTCCACATTCCACACCTGGAACTTTTCCCCCCTCTGTCAGGTTTTCAAATAAAACCAAACTACAATGACAAGATAATGTTTTACATCGCAACTCCACAGACATGGGTCAATTAGTCCATGACACCTCATCCCAACGCTTCCTTCAGGATTTATGACCCTCCCCTAAGTCATGTAAAGCCTTGCTCTAAGCTGCTCAGACGGGTGGGTGGCCGCGCAGCCAGCTCGCGTGCATGCACAGCGGCCACACTGCACGCGGGCTGCACGCACGTGCCTCCTTTCTCTGCTGTTCCATTTCGGTGGTGGCGCTCTAGCCTTCACCACCTCCCTCTGCTAGAAAAGGCAGAGTGCCTCTGTTTCCTTCCCTGCACGGGGACAAACATCTCAGGAGCACTGGTTCCCAGGCTCCAGGCTCCACACTCGACATGGAAAAGGACCTCCAGCCTGGAGGGCCCAGTGTTCCGGCCCCAGCCTGCTCTTTGTTCCTGACTGTGGAATCCTGACTTCTCAGCTTCCAGACGCCGGGAGACCACAGGCCTCTGTTTGAAATCCATGGAGCAGGCCAGCGAGTGCCCAGGCTTGGTTCCAGGACCAGGCCTCCCAACTGGGACCAAGCGGGACTTCCAACCGCAGCCTCTTGCGGAAAAGCAGGCACTTGTGGCGGCCTGATGCTTCTGTAACTGTAGCCTTTCTGATGCCGAAGGAGTCACCGAGACGTCCACTTCCTCACATTCCCAAGGATTCTGTTTCACACACAGAGCCAGTTTTTGGAGAGGGAGCGTATCCAAAATATAAGAATATACACATCAGGGCTTAAGGTACTGGATGATTTTGTAGAAATTGCTAAAATGCTTCTCGGCACAATTGGTAGCTTAAAAAAATACTTTCTTATGGGTTAAGGGCATTTTTCCTACCACTGTCCTTCGGTGTGGAAATCTTGGCAGATACCAAGTCCATCTGAAGTTCCCAATTTTTTTTTTCTTCTGCCAACCAGGCGTGTACCATGTGAGCCATATGCAAAGTGTAGGTTCTTCTGGCCGGAAAAGAACGTTTCCCTCCAAGCACCTCCCTCTCTGAATATCACAGCCCCCGGGGGCAAATCACTGCAAGGAAAATGAACACCTTCTTCCAAACCTCCAGCAGCCAGCAGGCCGGCTTCTGGAACAGTCATGTTCTCCATCAGTTTGCCCTTCAGATGGTGAGTCAGCCCAGCCACTAACATGGAAAGCGAGTCCGTTTATAGGCACAGGAGATCCAGGTGGAGCCACACCGGTGGAGCTTGGCAATGACTGGTAGTAGGCTTTCCAAGGACAGGATGCTCCATGGGACTGTCCTAAATAAATAAATCTTTTTTTTTCCATAATGTAAAAAATAAATGGTATTTTCCTTTGGCAGTAAATAGCTGATTCAACGTGGAGCCTGAAAGCTGTTTCTGTCCTGTGTTGTTTGCTTGTGTTTCAGAGACCACAGCTCCGTTTCATGGTACGTCCCAACAATGCATATGTTTCTACTGCTTTCATGAACCTTTTGCATATTTCTCTGGGACAGGCCTGTTGCCTTCACTTGTGACCCAGATAGGCACCCAGGGTGATGCAAGCTCCCACCAGGGCCAGGCTGAGCAGCGCCTTCAGAGAGAGCCAGGAGAAGTCGAACAGAGGCCGCATGTTGGGGCCGTACAGTTCCACAAAGGCGTCCTGCAGGGGAGAGAGGAGGGGAGAAGAAGAGAGGGCGTTAGAGACAGAGAGCAGGCCCACTCGTTTCACTTTCATTCAAGAAATATTTATTGAGCCAAAACCGGTTTGGCTCAGTGGATAGAGCGTCTGCCTGCGAACTGAAGGGTCCCTGGTTTGATTCTGGTCAAGGGCATGTATGTACCTTGGTTGCAGGCACATCCCTAGTAGGGGATGTGCAGGAGGCTGCTGGTCGATGTTTCTCTCTCAATGTTTCTAACTGTCTATCCCTCTCTCTTCCTCTCTGTAAAAAATCAATAAAATATATTTTTTTAAAAAGAAATATTTATTGAGACCCTATTTATGTGCCAGGCACCCTAGAGAAACAGCAATGAGTGACATAGGCTGAAAGTTCCTGCCTCACAAAGCTTTTATCTAGTCAAGTGGGATGGACCACAAACAAAATAAATGTATGATATACGTGCATTAGAGACGGGTGTGAAGAGGGAAAATAAAACAGAAAAGGCGGCTGGAAATCTGGAAGGCTTTGCAATTTTTATGAGCATGGCCATTCACAGGAATAATAAAAACCCTAGGACTACAACAACACTCCTATATTGAATGTTTGCTATATGCCAGGCACTTGTATTGAATGCCTAACATGCATTGCTTTATTTATTCTTTGTGTCAAACTTATGGAGTTGTTTTGCTTATTCCTGTTCTGTAGGGGGAAAAACCCTGAGAATCTCGGAGGTTAAAGGATTTGTCTAGTCAATAGTAGGGCCAGGATTTGAACCCAGATCCAAACCAGTGCCCTTCATTCTGCTGATGCCCTAACAACAGCTCTGTGAGTGCTTGGTTTGCCCGGGAGGCTGATGTGGTGGACACAGCAGGGCAGCCTCCACTGGTTGTAGGCCTAGTCTCTGAAGTCAAGGACAGGGTGCTCCCTGGGAAAGGAAGCCATCCTAGGGTTTCTACTGGAGGGGGGGGGGTGTGAAAGAGGGGACACGACCAGACTGGATGACCACAACTTCACAATTAACTCAAGTTGTGAACTTTACAAGCATGAGGTAATTTATGGTCAGATTGTGTCAATGAACACACAGATCCCTGTGAAAAGATGGCTCCTGGTTTCCCTTTGTACCGCTGCTTGGAAGCCAGGCCTGCAGTGTTTGCAGCAAAGATCTCTGGGTTGTCTTAGCTCGTTCCTTAGATTGGTTGGGGAAGATTAGGTTCCACATTTGGACCCAATTATTATTTGGACAACTCTGTAAATCTATCTAAATATGTAGTTCAGTAAATGAAATGCTTTTTTACATGGTGTGATTTATTTAGGCATTTCAACAACCTCGAATTGGAGCATCTGATTTCATTATGGAAGACAGTAACCCGCGGAAACTTCGGACATTGCTGCACAGAGGAGGTTCTGACAAACTTCAGTGGTTTTGTTTGTTTGGGGCAAATACAGAAGTAAAGGGACCAGGTATCATCTTTGCCTCCCAGTGCTGTGCATGGCCATGTACATGCAGGTGCTTAATAAATGTTCAAGGAATGGTTCAAGTTTTCTTAATCCATTCACTAGCTTGAATTCTCTTTAACCTAATACAAGCATGTCAAACTCCAAGGCTAACATGGGCCAAATAAAGGAGGCAGGCAACCCGAGGGCGGCGAGTTTGACATGCTTGACCTAATATGTCATCCAGATGTTTACTCTGCCTGTTTGAAAGTGTGCTTTCTAAATACAACCACTTCTGGGAATCTTGGAGTAGTCTTGAAGGTGAGAGTTTAAGATATTAGGGAAACTTCCCCCATTATTAAATAAAGATTTACACAACTGTTTTTCACAACTGCCTAGTATTCCATATATGCATATGCTGTGCTTTCTTGAGCCAATTCTTTATTTGGGTTGTTTTAAACATTTACTAAACAATATTATGCTACATCTCTAACATGATTTTTTATGTATTTATTCAGATGTGGGGGTTTTATGTATATGTGTGTGTGTGTGTGTGTGTGTGTGTGTGTGTGTGTGTGTGTGTCTGTGTGTATAATGTGTGTGTATTTAGACAAATTCCTAGCAGGTGAACACAGTTGACTAGCTATCAAAACTGTTTACTGAACCACACCAGCCAGGAGATCACGGTTCAGTTCCTGGTCAGGGCACATGCCTTTGCTCAATTCCCAGGAGGCAGTGGATCAATGATTCTCTATTATTGTTGATGTTTCTCTATCTCCCTTCCCTTCCTTTTCCTCTAAAATCATAAAAAGGTTTTTTTTTTTAATTGCTTACTAAAGTCACAAAAGGTTTCTGCGGAGTCATCCCCACTCTCTCATTAGTTGCCCTGGAACCATTACACCTTTTACAAAAGGCAGATAAGGGTTTAGGGCAGCGGTTCTCATTGGTCTTGAGGGTGGTCTTGCCCACAGGAGATGTTTGGCAATCTGTGGAAACATTTTTGATAATCATGGTTTGGGATGAGGTCATCTGTGGGTAGAGGCCAGGGATACTGCCCAACATCCCATGATGCACAGGGCGGCCTGTGAAGAAAGGTTTTAAAGAACCTTTGTGATCATGGACCAATGGTCTATCTAGTGTGTCAAAAGCACAAGATCAGTTGGTGGACCACCAAGTGGGGATCTGGACCTCAGATGCACTAGATTAACTTGTACCAGGAGAGGGCGCAAGCGTTTTCTTCTTTTTTAATCTATTGTTAAAATGTTCCCAAATTGAACCTTAGCAGAGCCATGCTCTAACACAGTGGTGAAAAGTGTCCCGCCCAAGGGCCATATAAGGCCCCAGAAATTATTTGGTCTGGCCCTGACAAGGCATTAGATGGTGAGTTCAGTAAAGGTTTGCCCAAATATAGCAGGCTAATTTTTAAGTTGATAATTTTGGATGTTATAAATATCCAAATGGCCCTTGGCAGGAAAAAGGTTCCCCACCCCTGCTCTAACAGATAATGAAATATGTGTTTAGTGCTCTTAGCATAAAGCTGATGTAAAAATCATGATTGCTTGTCAGGAAACACACCTTCCTTATATGTAATCAGGGATAAATGGGGCAGAACAGGGTCCAAACATATTTACAGGCAGGAAAAACTATCCCTTGCAAAGTGCAGCCTCAGGTCCCACAGACACAGCCGGTAACATCTCTGAGCCCTCCCTAAAAGGTGGGCAGTCTGGAACCTCCAACGGCCCAGCCGAAGGATGCCCTTTGAGCACTGACAGTAGGAAAGAAGGTCCATGGCTGGACTCCACATTTTTTTAGTTACCAATGGAGTTGTCTGTGTCTGAGTATGAAACGAACTAAGACTCTGGCCGTCTGACCTTTCTGGACAAGAAGCCATCCTGGGAAAGTGGAAGAAGCAGGGACACATTCCCTCCTCATCTGCCTGGTGCACAGGGGCCGGAGGAAATGCATGTCTACCTACCCCTTCCTCTCCTGGGCTGGAATAACCTCCTCTCCTGACACCGTGCTCCTAAGGGTCCATTGCTGATGTGCATTACAAAGAGGATGCACATCAGGGGGGATGAGCTAACCTAGCATCTCTTGACCCAAAGACCGAGAGTAGAGGCGCTGACGTAGCCCCCAGGGGTCTGGGAACAGCTCTCGGCTTGGAGAGAAGGTCTGGGTGAAATCCCAGCTTTGACATTTTATTGCTCATGACCTTGAACAAATTACCCAATCCTGAGCCTCATTTACTTCACCCATAAAATTGGTTATTGGGAAGATTAACGTAGGTGATTCAAAGCCATTTGTCAATGTGGCCCAGAGCATTAACTTGTTCTCTAGTCTGCTCCCTTGCAAACCTGCCTCAGGCGTCCTGAACCTGCCCCTCCCTCCAGAGGAGGGGAAAGAAGGGAAGGGCAGGTTTTCACAGCACACTTCACAAGTTCCCTCTAAAGAGGCCTGGTGATATCTGTAGAAATTGTGAATTAAAATGCACACGTGATGTGTTCCCATGGAAGACAGGAAGTGAAATTACAATGCCCATCTGTACTTCCTCATCAATGGGTAAGTCAGTTTGCGGGCTGAGGGGCGTCATTGACCTCCTAAGGTTGATCGGGCCTTTGAACTTTGCCCATCTATGTTCCAAAATGCCACGCGGACCCTGTGGGCTCAGGACTGAAGGTCCTCAAAGCTCCTTTCCTACAGTCTTCTTGCTTTTCCAAACATCCTGATTAGGGAGATTTCCGAAGTCTGTTTGAACAGCCTGTCATTATTTGTTTAAGTCTGAAAGCTGTATTAAATAAACACATGCTCATTTTATGTATTAGAAGCAACAAAGTGGGAAAAAGAAAACCTGGGCTGTTGTCATGTGACTCAGACCAAACCCCAGTCTGTGTATTTGGAGGCATTGCCAGCTTGTCTCATGCCAGGACTGGCAAGGGCTCTGCCCCATTTCAGGGGTGCAAAGAGCAGGTCCCACGGGTGGTCCTTTCTCCTTTTGCTGGCCTCTCACATCACAGAGGAGACAGGCGGTGCCCCAGCTCTGGTCACTCTTTCGCAGGCAGCTTCTCCATAAACCCCAAATTCAGAGGGCACAGACGGTCTGAGTCCGAATTCCACCCTGGGCAGGCATCAACAGGACAGGAAGGTCCCACTCCCACCCCAAACCGGTGCTGCAGGGCGGAAAGTGAGCCAGGGGGTGTGGACCAGAAGACCAGACTCAGACTCCTACACTGGGGGGAGGGAGTCAACAGCAAAAGTGTCCTTGTCTCTCCTGCAATGGGACCAGGCCTGGGACCACCGTCATCCCCTTCTCTCCCTCTCTAACCCCCCATTCTCGCCACCTCTACATGCATACCTCCCTGAAGCCAGCCCATCCTCCAATATCTTCCTTTTCTCCTTAAGAATCCTTCAAAAAAGTTTCACTTAAACCTGATTTCAAATGAAATGAGATTTAAAGACAAACGAACCAGATGAGCAACGTCGAGTTCTGCTGAAACCAATGGGGTGGGGGTGAAGATGGGGGCCAGGTACTCTTACACAACTTCTCCTCACTGAGGAAGGGTCAGCGGAG